CCCCTTTTTGGCCCCAAATTCCTACACGTTTAGTGCAATTACCCCAAAACTCAAACCCAGCTTTCCCTTTGTGATATGTAACCTTGTAGTACAATTTCAGAAAGATCCATACACTTACACACAAGGTATTGTCCTGAAACTAGAAAAATGCTTGTTTTTTGCCCCTTTTTGGCCCCTAATTCCTAAAATATGTAGGCAATAACCCCCCATCATCAATCCCAGCCTTCCCTTTGTGGTATGGTACCTTGCAGTACAATTTCAGAGAGATCCATACACTTGAACACAAGTTATTGTCTGGAAACTAAAAAAATGCTTATTTTTTGCCCCTTTTTGGCCCCCAATTCCTAAACGTTTTGGCAATTACCCCCAAACTCAATTCCAGCTTTCCCTTTGTGATATGGAACCTTGTAGTACAATTTCAGAAGATCCATACACTTACACACAAGTTATTGTCATGAAACTAGAAAAATGCTTGTTTTTTGGCCCTTTTTTGGCCCCTAATTCCTAAAATGTTGAGGCAATTACCCCCAAAATCAATCCCAGCATTCCTTTTGTGATATGGAACCTTGGGGTACAATGTCAGAGAGATCCATACACTAACACACAAGTTATGTCTGGAAGTTACAAAAATGCTTATTTTTGGCCCCTTTTTGGCCCCTAATTCCTTTACTGTGGGTACCATAACCCCCAAAATCAATCCCAACCTTCCTTTTGTGGTATTGAACCTTGTAGTAAAATTTCATAGAGATCCATTCACTTAAACTAAAGTTAGAGTGTGAAAACCAATGTGTCTTCGGACGACACAGGACGACGACGACGACGCCAACGTCATACCAATATACAACCACAAAAATTTTTTAGCGGTCGTATAAAAAGGAAAAAAAAATCCCTCCTCCAAATTTTTTCAACCCCCTTATGATCCATCACCCCCAAACTCAATCCTGCCTTCCCTTTGTGGTATGGTACCTTATAGTACAATTTCAGAGAGATCCATACACTTGAACACAAGTTATTGTCTGGAAACTAGACAAATGCTTGTTTTTAGGCCCCTTTTTGGCCCCAAATTCCTAAACGTTTAAGGCGATTACCCCCAAACTCAAACCTAGCTTTCCCTTTGTGATATGGAACCTTGTAGTACAATTTCATAAAGATCCATACACTTAAACACAAGTTATTGTCCTGAAACTAGAAAAATGCTTGTTTTTTGCCCCTTTTTGGCCCCTAATTCCTAAAACTTTGTGGCAATTACCCCCAAAATCAATCCCAGCCTTTCCGTAGTGGTATGGTACCTTGCAGTACAATTTCAGAGAGATCCATACACTTGAACACAAGTTATTGTCTGGAAACTAGAAAAATGCTTGTTTTTATGCCCCTTTTTGGCTCCAAATTCCTAAACGTTTTGGGCAATTATCCCCAAACTCAAACCCAGCTTTCCCTTTGTGATATGGAACCTTGTAATACAATTTCATAAAGATCCATACACTTACACACAAGTTATTGTCCTGAAACTAGAATAAAATGCTCCGCTGGGCTCAGCTTGATACGACCGCAGAGGTCGAACCCTGAACAGTTGGGGCAAGTATGGACACAACATTCAAGATTGATACAGTTCTGAATTTGGATTGTGATTAAATATTTGACACAGCATAGGTTTCTGACACAGACTGAATGTGGTCTAAGAACTTAAATTTTTTTAATTTACCTATTATGGTCCAATATCCAAAATCTAAATACATGGTTAGATTCAGCATATCAAAGAATCCAAAGAATTCAATTTTTAATGAAATCAAACAAAGTTTAATTTTGGACCCTTTTAACCTCAATGTGGACCTTATTGATAACGGGGCCCAAAAATCTTAATATATGTTAAGATTCAGCATATCAAAGAACCCCATATATTCAATTTTTTATGAAATCAAACTAAGTTTAATTTTGGACCCTTTGGACCTCAATGTGGACCAATTTGATAACGGGGCCCAAAAATCAAAATACATGGTTAGATTCAGCATATCAAAGAACCCCATATATTCAATTTTTCTTGAAATCAAACAAAGTTTAATTTTGGACTCCAACTTGGATCAACATGAAAACTTGACCCATAACAAAAAATCTAAACCAATGTTTAGATTCAGCATATCAAAGAACCCCAAGAATTCAATTTTTGTTAAAATCAAACTAAGTTTAATTTTGGACCCTTTGGACCTTAATGTAGACCAATTTAAAAAACGGGACCCATTATTAAAAATCTAAATACACGGTTAGATTTGGCATATCAAAGAACCCCAATAATTCCATTTTTGATGAAATAAAACAAAGTTTAATTTTGGACCCTTTTGACCTCAATATGAACCAATTTGATAGAGGGGCCCACAAATAAAAAATCTAAATACATGGTAAGATTCAGCATATCAAAGAACCCCAGATATTCAATTTTTGTTGCAATCAAACAAAGTTTAATTTTGGACCCCAATTTGGACCAACTTGAAAACTGGGCCCGAAATCAAAAATCTAAATACATATTTAGATTCAGCATATCAAAGAACCCCATATATTCAATTTTTGTTAATATCAAACTAAGTTTAATTTTGGACCCTTTGGACCTTAATGTAGACCAATTTGAAAACTGGACACAAAATTAAAAATCTAAATACACGGTCAGATTTGGCATCACAAATAAATAAATGTGGTCAAAGATTTTACAAATCTAATGCGCCATACTGTGCAATTAAAGATTACTTCTTGAAATTTTTCAATATTTGAAATTTGAAAAAAAAATAATATTTGAAGAATAATTCTTTTTAATTTCTGAAATCTGAAATGAGAAAAAATTGACCCCCCACAATTTCTTTTTACCCCCCCCCCCCCCCCTCAATTCTTTCCCTCAAGATATGGTCATAATCTCAATTCAAATTTCCCATGGAATTGCAACCATAATTACCCATTTAAATTTACCATAGTGCTAACTTAATTTATTTTATAATAGAATTTAAAATATGGTGTCAAATCTTTCATATAGATTTTTTTGTAAAAAAAAAAAAAGATGCAACATTTGCAGATATTTTTACTGGTCTTCCTTTATAAATATGCATTTCTTTAAACATAATTTAAAAGCAGTGTAAGGGAAGTAATCAAGGCGTTGTATGTGGATTACCTCCCTTACACTGTTTTAAATTGTCTTAATTGTTCATTAACCATTACTTTATACATAGTTTAAAAGCAGTGTAAGGGAGGTAATTCAAATGATGTATTTGATTTATTTCCCTTACACTGCTTTAAATTATGTTTTGTACTAAAGTATTTGTCCATATAAAAATGCTTGTTGTTTGCCTCTTTAATGGCCCCTAATTCCTAAAATTTTGAGGCAATTACCCCCAAAATCAATCCCAGCATTCCCTTTGTGATATGGAACCTTGTGGTACAATGTCAGAGAGATCCATACACTAACACACAAGTTATGCCTGGAAGTTACAAAAATGCTTATTTTTGGCCCCTTTTTGGCCCTTAATTCCTTAACTGTTGGTACCATAACCCCCAAAATCAATCCCAACCTTCCTTTTGTGGTATTGAACCTTATGTTAAAATTTCATAGAGATCCATTCACTTAAACTAAAGTTAGAGTGCGAAAACCAGCCTGTCTTCGGACGACAACGTCAACAACGACGACAACGACGACGACGACGACGCCAACGTCATACCAATATACGATCACAAAATTTTTTTTGCATTCGTATAAAAAATGCTTGTTTTTTGCCCCTTTTAGGCCCCTAATTTCTAAGATTTTGAGGCAATTACCCCCAAAATCAATCCCAGCCTTCCCTTTGCAGTATGGTACCTTGCAGTACAATTTCAAAGAGATCCGTACACTTGAACACAAGTTAGTGTGGACAGTCTGGAAGCTAGAAAAATGCTTATTTTTGGCCTCTTTTTGGTCACTTTTTCCTAAAAGTTTTGGGCAATTACCCCCACACTCAATTTCAAGCTTTTTCTTTGTGATATGGAACCTTGTAGTACAATTTCAGAAAGATCCATACACTTACACACAATTTATTATCATGAAACTAGAAAAATGCTTGTTTTTTGCCCCTTTTTGGCCCCTAATTCCTTAAATTTTGAAGCAATTACCCCCAAAATCAATCCCAGCATTCCCTATGTGATATGGAACCTTGTGGTACAATGTCAGAGAGATCCATACACTAACACACAAGTTATTGTCTGGAAGTTACAAAAATGCTTATTTTTGGCCCCTTTTTCCTTAACTGTTGGTACCATAACCCCCAAAATCAATCCTAACCTTTCTTTTGTGGTATTGCACCTTATGGTAAAATTTCATAGAGATCCATTCACTTAAAGTTATTGTGCGAAAACCAATGTGTCTTCACACAAATTAAATCTATTCCAAAAAACAGTTCTTTTTTAATCACATAGAAACCCCAAAATTTGAACTTTTCCAACAATCAAGTACCATTAATGGCATTATTCTGGAACAGTGCAAGTGAAACGATGTAAATTGAACTCAACCTACTAACTTATCTTTAGTGATTCAAAACATTCCATTAAAATTTCAATTAATTTCAAAAAGTGGTTCTCTATTTATCATTTGGAAACCAAGTTTGATGGATGGGCGAACATGAGGATTACTATATACCCCGACTCAGTCTAGCGTATAAATAAATCAAAACAGATTAATAATAAGTTATCAGGTACTGTGATTCGAGATCTTAAAACAAACAATTTTTCTTGAAATATTTGAAATTTTTGCAGTACTATATAGTCTGTTCAACTTACATTGTTAGGCAATCTAAAATTATATTTGTGTTATTGAATTAATATTTGTACTGATAAAACCACACTCAAATGATTTGTATGTTATGTGCTGTAATTTATAAGTACTTGTATTATGATTGTTTTTATAATCTCTTAAAAATCCTCTAAATGTGTTAGCTTGTATATCTTCACTATTCTCCATTTAAATATTGGTAAATTGAAGTTCACACAAAAAAAAGAGTAATTAATGTTCTTTATTGTTTGTCTTTTCATATATAACAACCACCTAAATAATAGTTTTTTTTCTGTAAAAAAAATACACATATAAATAACATCTAACAATATAATACATTAAACAACAGAACCTAACATAAAATAAAAAGAATTTGTTATAGTAAGCTGTTCAAAGATTTTTACTTACATTTTATAAATTAAGATAATACTTATATTTTATCAACCTTTTAATACGGATAAAAAAAAAAGATAAGTGGAACAAACAAAAAGAGAATAATCGAGCAAATATTATCAATCTTTTAAATTTTTTTTGTAATTAATCCTGAAAGTTTTTTTTTTTAAATTCTTTGCTAGTGAAATCAAAATTACTGAGTTGAAACAGATTTTTAACAGTGACATAATAACTAACCTTAGATGTTAAGGTTGAAGTCTACCTTATGAAGTTTGATTTCAGAAGCATAAGAGTTCTTGACATATTATGTATACAGTTGGCCACTTGCAAAAACTCAACTCACAAATCAGTGTTTTTTTTTTCTATAAATTAAACAAGAAATAACAGGCAAACATTTGTGTTGCTCATTCTTTTCAGTTTTTGGCAGATTAATTAAATCTTGAAACAAAGGGTTTTCAAAATACTTTCAGTTGAAAACATGAAAAGTTTGTCTATCCAAGCATGAAAGCGAGTTTATACCAAGAAAATATAACAGTTTAAAAATGTTTGTATAAATAACAACACATTCATGCCTCAAAGCAATCACCAGTTTATGTACATATCATAGAAAACACTCCAAACTATTGCTCTTTTTTTTTTAAAGTGTGCAAAGTGTCATACATGGCAAAAATACAATACAGCTCATCTCTGCCAAACAAGCCTAAAAACTTTATATCATAAATAACTATATGGACTAGCTTCATGATTTCGATTACAATGTTACATGTTATTGACAAGCTTTCCATAAAATTTGTACATTTAAGAGTTAAAGTGGTCCCTAAAACAGCAGTTTTCTAAATAAATTGCATATATGACAATGCTTCTCCATATAAAATCGAAAGTAAGGAGAAGTTCTTTCTTCTTTTAAAGTTTTTATAACCATTGAACTAACCATATCATTTGGCATTCTTATTTACAAAATCACACAATATTAATCGATTTTGTGCCAATAATCGTGCTAAATATTCAATGGGGACCCAAGCTGACAAAGAGCCAAGATCAAAACATATGCTTTAAAAAACAAGAGTGCACACGCTGAAATGTGTCGCCTTCTTTACTAATCATTGATATTATGTTGATAGTCCTAAATATAAAGCTTTATTACAACTGTCACATAAACTTAACATTAACTAAGTAAACTAAACATTGACCAATGAACCATGAAAATGAGGTCAAGGTCAGATGAACCATGCTAGGCAGGCATGTACAGCTAACAATTCTTCCATACAACAAATATAGTTGACCTACTGCTTATAGTTTTAAGAAAAACAGACCAAAACACAAAAACTTAACACTGAGCAATCAACCTTGAAAATGAAGTCATGGTCAAATAAAACCTGTGTGACTGACATATAGATCATAAAATATTTCCATACACCAAATATAGTTGAACTATTGCATATAGTATTAGAAAAAAAAAAAAAAAAAACTCAAAAACTTAACTTTGACCACTGAACCATGAAAATGAGGTCAAGGTCAGATGACACCTGCCAGCTAGACATGTACACCTTACAATTATTCCATACACCAAATATAGTAGACCTATTGCATACAGTATAAGAAAAACAGACCAAAACACAAAAACTTAACTATAACCACTGAACCATGAAAATGAAGTCAAGGTCAGATGACACCTGCCAGTTGGACATGTACAACTTACAGTCCTTCCATACACCGAATATACTAGACCTATTGCTTATAGTATCTGAGATATGGACTTGACCACCAAAACTTAACCTTGTTCACTGATCCATGAAATGAGGTCGAAGTCAAGTGAAAACTGTCTGACGGGCATGAGGACCTTGCAAGGTACGCACATACCAAATAATTTTTTTTATAGTTATCCTATTACTTATAATAAGAGAGAATTTAACATTACAAAAAATCTTAACTTTTTTTTCAAGTACTGTAAATTCAGAAATTATTGCGTGCATTTATTATTGCGATTTTTGTAAAATGGACAAAAATGCGAGATTAATTATTGCGATTTCAGGAAAAGCTGCATGCAGACGTATGTATCAGATATCCGAATTTGAATTCTTATTATTGCGATGATCAACCACTCGCATTATTCGCATTAATAAAAACCTCGCAATAATTTCTGAATTTACAGTAGTCATTGAACCATGAAAATGAGGTCAAGGACATTGGACATCTGACTGACGGAAACTTCGTAACATGAGGCATTCATATACAAAGTATGAAGCATCCAGATCTTCCACCTTCTAAAATATAAAGCTTTTAAGAAGTTAGCTAACGCCACCGCCTCCTTAGCCGCCGCCGGATCACTATCCCTATGTCGAGCTTTCTGCGACAAAAGTCGCAGGCTCGACAAAAATCAAATAATAATAAATAATGCACAGTCATATTCCTGACAATTAATGTTCTTCTGTGACATTTTATACCCCAACAGCATTGTTTGATTCTATGTTCTTTGTATTCACTGCGGAACCAATCTACAAATATTGTGGGGTCATTCAATTTAGACATAAGATACTACAGAGGGCACACTTCTATGCATCATTAATTTCAACTTTATATCAGAAGTTATATGAGGTTGCCTCTCAAGTCTGTTAATGATTAACCAGTTAGTTTTCAGCCCTTCTATATAAAGTTTAAACAAACAATATAGAGTCATTATAGACCTATAGACCAAGGTTATCAAGAGTAAACCTCAAAAAATTGTTTAAATGATTTTGAATCTTTTTTTAAAGCCCAGTCTTCTGATGGAGTGGCTAAGTCGCACATTTATATTACTACTATATAGAAAAAACTGAAAAATCAATGTCTATACATAGCATGTGTACACAATATTGGTTTACACAATATAGAGTTCTGAAGCTACATGACACATTGTTTTATCTTTTAACTCAATAATGAAAGGTCTAACTAAAAACTTTGTAGTTAAAATTGGCTTATTTCCTATGAAACCCATAATGCAAAATTAGGCTCTTGGCTAAATAACAATATAATGGTGCAAATATATACAGCTAGCACAATTTAGGATTGTCATTTTATTTCAGTCAGTAGTACTGTGACTAGTAGTAATTCAGTCTATCATCATTAAGTGCAAATACACATTTTCTAGACTAAAATATTTTAACTTCGAAAAACGGTACAAAACTTTTAAAAACAGCTCATTACAATCTGTTAACAATTTTTCAGTCAATTAAAGATTGTTGCTGTTATTTATCAAAAGCTATTTACTAGTACCCTGTATATCACAATTGCCAAAGGTACTAACTAGTAAACAAGACCTCATTAAAGTGACATCATAGTTGAAAAGACCAATTTGATTCCTTTATCATTTTGCACAAAACTTTCAAGAATAAAATTTAAGTAATTGTTTGAGATGCAGAATAAATTTGGAATATTTCTGTGTCACCACATATCAGACCAATTTTGGCGCCATGAGTGTGATCATTTTGCAGTCATTTTATTTTTACCTTTTTAGAGATAATAAACATAAAAAAGAAAAAAAACCAATATACAACTGTACAATATTTTACACTTATAAAACAATTGGAGAAGATATACATACTTTACACAGTTCAAAAGTGTGTAAGTCCATTCATATTATGCAATAGATTTGCAGATCACTTACATAGAAAAGGTACATGTATATTCCTCTAATTCTATTTTCAAAACTAACTACCACTTAAGGTCCTAGTGTATTTACTTTAATGCAAAAACTTAAACAAAGTTACTCATGCATAAAATATATGTCAAATTAATCTTATGTTCTACTACAATAATATTTTAGTTGCAAAGAGCAAGTACATGTGTACCTTGTAAAGGGTATGCAAATATATCATCTATTATTCCAAAAATCATCAGTTAATGAGATTATTACTATAAATGCCCAGTATATCTAGAATATTTCCTGAAGTTAGGTACATTGATCATACACTATTTATTCTAAAGATGAGTGAAACGGTGGTTCAGTATTATTGATATATCACAATAGTTTTCTGAGAAAGTTACCATTCCATTACAATATAAGAGGTTGATGAAATCTTTCATATTAAAATGGGTATCTGAAATTTTAACATAAAGAACAAAATAATTTTATGAAAATCACTCAGTATAACATGAATGTCCAATTGTCTTTAGTGTATAGGATATGTTTGGTACTACATAATGTGGTGAAATATCATTGATATGCCACTTTGTGTTATTAGGAAATGTCTCTTTAAGATATAGAAGACCTTAACAAAAGTAGACAGACCTGTTGACAAGGTTAACATTGTATCAAACTTCCAAATTTTGTGGTGTGACTAAATAAATTTCCACATTATACAGCTGTCAATGACTGTAAATGTTCCAATGATTATCTTATAAGACTTTTTTTTCTATGATTTTTAAGAAAAAATCCTATTAACCATAATTTATAGTTTTGTCTGTTAAAGGTTAAAGGTCATATGTAGTAGTCTCATTAATGTATACCCAACATATCTTTTTATTTAATTAGATAAGTAATTTTTACTTGCTTTATTGTTCTGTGTAGACACAGACCTTAAACCAGGGAATTTTCATTTACAAATAACCAGTTCTAGATAGATTTTATACTATCTAAAGACATACTAAAATGTAGGCTTCATATGACCTTTAGTAACACTACCTTCCACTGCCCATATCAACATGTACATAATCCTTGGTTTTAAATATTGATACATCATCATGTATTTGACGTTTTTATTTACTAAGTCTTAAATATAAATACGGAAATGTCCATTTATACACTTTATAGCACCCATAAGATAAAATTCCTAAAAAAGTCAAACGGAAGCTCCAGACAAAAAGTTTTCCTATAACAGATCCCTTTGGTATGCTGAAAAACAGAAGATAAAATTAACTTAACCTCACTTCCTAGAATATTTTATTGTCAAAGGTAAATTATTGTTTTAACATTAAAAAATTATTTCATAATTATAAATACTTCTCATCAGGCTCATCATCTGTAACTCTTTGACTTGCTCATGTTATTTTCAAACTTAATGAAAATGTGTACAGACACAACAGGAAAAAAATAGATTTCTCTTCCTTTGATTCCAAAACCAATTAAATACTACTTTTTTTCATGTTTGGAAAAGACATGTAATAATAAATATCTTTCTGTTTTAGGATGTTGCTCACATTTAAGTTATAGACAATATTTCAGAATATATAATTACTGGAAGATTTTTAATTTTCCCTCTACAACCTAACCCAAACGCAAAGGCAAACAGTTACTTAAACTTTACCCTATCACACAACCCTTGTTGATATTGAACACTTCCACCTGAGATCATCGCAGGTTTTTAGTGGGGTCTGTGTTACTAAATCTTTAGATTTCTATGTTGTGTTTTTTAGATTGTTGTTTGTCTTTTGGTCTTTTTTCATTTTGCTATGGCATTGTCAGTTTGTCTTGGACTTACGAGTTGGAATATCCCTTTGATATCTTTCCCCTCTCTTTTACCTAAGATATGACTTGCAGACCTCTATCAATAAGACTATTACCTAGTGATTTCTCTGAGGTCATGTTTTTCTCTTGGCCAGTTTTGGATTATACCAGGCATATGTCCTATTCCAACTACACCTACAACTGTTGTTGGCTGTAACTCTGTAAAATAATTTCAAACACATAGAGAAAGAAAGACAATTCATGACTATTATTCTTGATGAAATAATCAAAAGCACAAGAGAAAATCACAAAACATATGGAATAAAGGTTTTGCTCAAATAATAATAAAATTTCATGTATAGTAATTTTAGGATACCGTGCATGAGTTAATGGACTTGCTGGGTATATACCAATGAGACATTAATCAAACAATACAAAAAACCACACCAAAAGACACAAGAGTATTCAGTTAATGTCACTTTTAATATAACTGTATTTCAGAATTATTGCATGCATTTATTATTGCTACTTGTAGAATGGACTAAAATGCGAGATCAATTATTGCGATTTCAAGGAAATCTGCATGCCATTATATGTATCAGATATAAGAATGCGAGTTCTTGTTATTGCAATAATCATTCAGATGTATTATTTGCATTAATAAAAACCTTTCAATAATTTGTAAATTTACAGTAATACATTTAATATATCAGTGTGGTTATTTGTTATCAGGCTCAAAAATAAACATATCTGCATTTTGTAGGTTTTCTTTTAGTGTGATTTTGTCAATTTGCTTTTAAAATAACTATTTAGCAAACTAGGTTCATTTTCACTTGTATGATACCCCTTTTGGGCGACTGATGATATATATTTACATTGAAAAGCCATTATCAATTGATTCTACCATAATAATAGTATTCCTCAAATAATAATGATAGCATAGAATTTTAAATACTCTATTGTATTCATTTATTAATAATTACATTACATGTATGTTTCATGAGAATCCGTTTGTTTGATTGGCTAACAACAATCGTGTGTCATTCAAATATTAACCTTCATATCAAAATGAAATGTTACATTTGTGATGACATGTGCTTCCACAAAAAAGTGCACAGGTAAACAAAAGAAAAACTTGATAAAAACTTTTTGTCATGGTCTTATTATCTTAAAAATGTAATTATAAGAAATGAATGCTTCTTTTTGTAATTTTATTGGGGTGTAAAAGTGTTGATCGTGCACAGATTTTTAGAATGAGGTGCTTCCGTGCTTCATACAAAATGTGCTTCAGTCAACACTTTTACACCCTAATAAAATTACAAAAAGACGCATTCATTTCTGAAATAAAGACTGAGATATCAAGACTTACCATCAAATGGTTTCAGACTAATTTTTGCATGTACTTGAAAAAATAATTTGCCAATAATATGAGAATCATCACACCAATTGCTCAGTAATTAGTTTCCTATGTTGTGTTTTGTATACTGTTGATTGTCTTTTGGTCGTTTTTTTGTTTTTGCCATGGCATTGTCAGTTCTTTTCCAACTTATGAATTTGTGTATCCCTTTGGTATCTTTAATCTCACTTCAACAACTTTCAAAGTAAATTATTAAATGTAAATGAATTAACAGTAAAAAATTACATGAAGCAACACCAAAATTAATCATTGTTATTCTGATTTTGGCACTTAATTCAGTCAACATTTTTTTTAAATGGCTTGTCCCATGAAAAAAATATCCCATTGATATAAGGCAAGATGGGCAAATGACCAAGTTATAAGCAAAATTCTAAAAAATAAAGGAACAATGCTTCATTATACATATTATTCATACTTACCATGTGGTTCTTCTGTCGATCTTAAAGGCAAAGACGCATTTTTGAGTGAGTGGGTCAAAAATACATCTCTTTCTGCAACAAAAACTTCTGACAAAGCAGGGAACTCCCCTGTCATTTCTTTCAACATTTGTTCTAACAAATCTTTCTGCTTACATTTCTCTACTTCTTCTTTACTGAAACATAAATAATATAATGCCCTGCCAGAAAAATAGAAATCACCTGTAAACTCCTCAAACGGTTGTTGCAAGATTTAGGATTCTTTAATGTGCAGATAGTGTGAAACTCTATATTCCAAAGAAGTGTTGTTGTGTATACATCACACATATGTATGCCAAATGAAAGATATTATTAAGTGAGTATTTTATATTGTGGTTTTGGCTTTTATCATCTGCTTCGATCAATGCTATTCCCTCTTTGAATCTCTCTTTCGTACATGAATTATTTCTATTTCAGACTGTACAGTTGAAACTTCTCTAATTCTCACTGGAATGCAAATTGGAAAAGGTAATAAATTTAATTTGAAATACCCATTTTATGTTTCATGAGTTTAATAAAATAAACAACATTACCTGTCATGGCATAAGTCCTGAGAATTGTTTATAGAATCATTCTACACAGACAAGATGCAATGGGTATTTTTTTAAGTAAATAATACGACAAAAGAACAAATCTTAATATCGTCATGGAATTGATTTAATATTTTACAAGTATTCATATTTTTAAAATCTTTGAAATTTATTCCCCCTAAGTGGATAACAGAAACATCTGTTATACAAGGTAACAAAAATGTACTTTATTGAACCAAACATAGTTCAGAATTAGATTTTTAAAGCTGGCAAATTTTATTAGATCTGGATGAGCTAAATTCTTTATGAGGGCTGTTACATTCCTGCTGTGGGTAAGACAGTCTGTAAAAGTAATTTGAAAGGATAATATCCACTTATGTTGAATCATTGGTGAGTGTAAAGGCAACAATACACTGAACATTGAATGCATGTTTAAACTAATTTGATGATGTTACAAAGTATTTTAAATTCCTACACAGGCAAACATATTTTGATATGGGCATAAATTTAAGTGCATTCTTCTGAGAATTGAAAGAAATAAAGGCCTTAAATAATGTGTAAACTTTCACTCACAACCTCAACATAAAGTCCAAAAAAAAGAAGTTGTGAGTGAGTAGTCCAGTTTTCACATCAATAAACTCGTTCTAAATAACCTTTAATACTTAACTGTTTTATAAATTCTATCATTTTCTTGTTCAGAAATGTTTTTATTTTGTAAATACCTAATTGGATCTTTGGATGTGATAAGATACCATGCTAATCTCAGTTTCTGCCACACTGATAGTGATGCTAATGCCCTTTTGAGAGTAATCTGTATTGGTCTGTCTCCTAAATATAATCTACAACCTGGGATCAGCTTAGCCTTAAATCATTAAAATAATAATTATTAGTATCAAACAAGCATTCCAATTTCTGTTCATTTTTACCTTTTCATATCTTCACAGTAGAGAAGAAATACAAAACAATAAGAACTATAAAACAATTGTACACATTTTCCTAGGCTAAGGTTATTCAAATAGGAATTAAAAGCAATAAGTCGTAACAATACATGTATCAGTTAATAAGGCCATATTATACAATTATAGCCTTTGTATGAGGTCGATACGAGGTTAAATCTATCTAAGAGAAGCATATCTACTGAGGACGAAGTCCGAGGTCGATATAACAACATATTGACCTCAACCAAAGGCTACAATTGTTATATTATTAATCAACAACTATTGCATGAACAATGTAAAATTGGGGATTTCTAGAATGTATTTTAGTAACATGCTGTATACCCTGTGCAATATGCTGTTTGTGACCTACGAAAAGTTAAACACACCAGTATTGGCGTACAAACTAAGTAAATACAAATGTACATGTGATCAAGTTTTAACGAATCACAAACCCTTAAAAAATTCCAATAATAATATAAGAATGTATTCCATTCGATCAAATTGCATTTATAGATAGGTCAATATCAATCAGTTTACATTTACTAATGTAATGGCATCTAAAATCAAGATTTATTTTTATTCTGAAGATTTCAAGTCAAATCAAGCATATGATTTGCTGCAAGACTGAAACAGCAATTTTTTGTCAAATAATTATCACAAATCTTTATCTGGAGGTTATAGAGAGAAAATGTAAACTTTCAAATCATAAAAAAGGCGCCCATAAAAATTTCTTTATTTTAAATGAAAATTATATGCCCTTAAAAGTGCCCAAAAATCATAGTACATGTTACAAACTTGTGTGAAACAGGTTATCCCTAAATCAATGTAAAACATTTGTATACATTTTACTGAAAAGTGCACAATTCCATCTTTTTTATTTTTAAAATCTTACAGACTTTCAAAAAATATTAAGAAATTTTATCTATTACCAATATATTTTTCCCCTCCGTACATTTCTTATAAAAAATCCAGACACATTTTCTTTATCAAAAATTCAAATTTTTCAAAAACTTGTATCTCAAAAAAAAAAGCACACATACACACACCTATATATATTTGTTCATCCTGTATAAAAATGCTGATAAGTCACCATTCTTAACTTCAATACAAACTTACCTCATTAAATGCTCTTCTAAATTCTCCACCTGGAGCCATTCCCAATTCTTTGGTTAAATGAGCAGACATACTTAGCAGTAACAAATGCATTACTCCTTGAACTAACCCACTCTGCAATATTTCAAAATTCCAATTTAAAACATTTAAGACAAATCTGCACACTTCTGTCAGAACAACATTGTTCACTTACCATTTTTTTTAAATCAAGAGTTTGTTCCCTTAGAAGGTAATACAAATATGTCTGTTTTAAATTAAACAGAGATTGCTGAAAAAAAAATTGTGGTATAATCACAGATACTAGAAAAGATTGATAAGTGTGTGATATTTATTATTTCTAATGTATTATAGCTGCTTCTGACCAAAATTAGGAATGTGTCAATTCAAGCCAGTATTTAACCCAGATACATTTTCCTAACCCAATGCCTTTAACTTACAGCTGAATCTTTGCAGCTAGTAATGTTCATTTCAGTAAAACAGAGAAAACATATAACAAAAATAAGCATTACTTTCCTGCAAATATATTTAAAAAAACAAAAAATTCTGGATTTTTCTTAATCTTCTTTTAAGGTTCTATTAAAACATACATGGTACCCAAGGAAGGCACTTTGAAAATTGGGAAACCATCTATAGAGGCAGTTGAGATTTCTGAGAGCTTTTCCTGGGTTCCTTGTATAATTGAATGGAACAACACTTACATATCAAATTATACATTTCAAAAAATAGTTGAAAGATGGGTATTCCAGACATTACTATGGTAATACGTCTGCAAGAAGTATGACCACTACTCCTTACCTGTTGTATGGATAATCTGATTTTTTCGAAGTTAATGTTTTTAGCTTCTTCCAATAAAGTTTCTTCGTCTAAATGTAATATATTAACTCTACTGTTACATAATTCTACCATAACTACATTCGGTTGGACCCTTTGTATCACCTGGAAGAAAAGGAAAACAGGTTAATAAACACATTCTATGGAAGAGTTTTTTTCACTGGTTTGCAATTAAACAATACATGTTTTTGCTGTTCAAAGACAAATCTTGAAGTAGCCATTTAGGGTTACATTTTTTTTTGTTCTTTCGTATACGTGGTGTTTCCAATTTTGCAAAATGCATTTAAGATTATTTTTTTGTGATTGTCCGTTTGTGCAATTCATTCCTTCAAAAACTCAAAATACTTTTTTTAAACTGTTGTGCATCAATCTAAATTTCCTAAAATTTTAAAAATAAAACTAAAATATGTTCACAACTTGTTGAAATTTCAATGATTTCTACTTAGAATAATCTTTCTTTAAATAAAAAAAAAAATCCAATCAGTTTTGAAGCTACATTGTAAATATACTAGCTATTTTTTTTTAAAGATGTAAGAAAACAATGACTTTGATCTGTGAGGTAACATATTTTTTTTCCTTTCATGGAAAAATATATGAGAAAGTTTGTTTCAAATACTGTGGACTCATTTGAATTCATAATAAAATGCTCCGCAGGGCACAGCTTGATACGACCGCAGAGGTCGAACCCTGAACAGTTGGGGCAAGTATGGACACAACATTCAAGCTTGATACAGCTCTGAATTTGGATTGTGATTAAATATTTGACACAGCATAGGTTTCTGACACAGAATGACTGTGGTCTAAGAACTTAAAAATTTTAAATTGGACATTCAACTATTATGGTCCAATATCCAAAATCTAAATACATGGTTAGATTCAGCATATCAAAGAACCCCAAGAATTCAATTTTTGATGAAATCAAACAAAGTTTAATTTTGGACCCTTTTGACCTCAATGTGGACAAAGTTGATAATGGGGCCCAAAAAGCAAAAATCTAAATACATGGTTAGATTCAGCATATCAAAGAACCCCATATATTCAATTTTTGTTGAAATCAAACAAAGTTTAATTTTGGACCCCGATTTGGACCAACTTGAAAACTGGGCCCATAATCAAAAATCTAAATACATGTTTAGATTCAGCATATCAAAGAACCCTAAGAATTCAATTTTTGTTAAAATCAAACTAAGTTTAATTTTGGACCCCGTTGGACCTTAATGTAGACCAATTTGGAAACAGAACCCAAAATTAAGAATCTAAATACACGGTTAGATTCAGCATATCAAAGAACCCCATTAATTCAATTTTTGATGAAATCAAACAACGTTTAATTTTGGACCCTTTGGACCTCAATGTGGACCAATTTAAAAACGGGGCCCAAAATCCAAAAACTTAATACACGGTTAGAATCAGCATATTAAAGAACCCCAAGAATTCAAGAATAAAACCCCATTGAAATTGGTCAAGAAATAAGCAATTTATACGAAGTATCTTCTTTTGCACAATACTGTGCAATTGAATATTTCTTGCTATTGCGCAATACTGTACAATTGACAATTTCTTGCTATTGCGCAATATTGTGCTATTGGATATTTCTTGCTATTGCACAATACTGTGCAATTGAAGATTTCTTGCTATTGCGCAATACTGTGCAATTGAAGATTTCTTGCTATTGTGCAATACTGTGCAATTGAAAATTTCTTGCTATTGCACAATACTTATTATATAATAAATTACACATCCTGTTTGGTGTGTATCTCCTACCATATCATTATTATTTGCTTTTAAATATAAAACAGAAATAACCAACTTAAAATGGAAAATTTTAAAAGAAAAAAAAAAGGAAATAAATGTGGATAGTGTCCACATGTGGACACAGATGATGCCCCCGCTTGCATATCATATAGTTATAAAGGGACATAACTGAAGAACGGTAAAAGTGACGCTACCCAAATTTGAACTTGATCTGAGTTTTGTGGTAGTAAGCATTGTGTGTAAGTCTCATAACATTTGGTTGAGGCTAACTTAAGTAGAGAACAGAAACTAAAAATTCAGCAATTTTTCTATTTGTAAACATGCATAACTCTAGAACGGTTGTGTATAAGTTTTACAACATTTGGTTGAGACAAACTAAAAAATTCAGCAATTTTTATGTTTATAAAGGGACATAACTCTAGAATGGTAAAAGTGTTGCCACCTAATTTCGTACTTAATCTGTATTATGTAGTAATAAGCATTGTGTATAAGTTTCATAACATTTGGTTGAGGCAAACTCAAGTTAGAGAACTGAAACAAAAAAATTGTACTTGATCCTTACTGAGTTTTGTGGTAATGAATATTGTGTATAGGTTTCATAATGTTTGGCTGGGGAAAACTTCAGTTACAGAATGGAAACTAAAATATTTTGCAATCTTTCTATTTATAAAGGGGCATAACTCAATAATGGTTAAAGTGACACTACCCAAATTCAACTTGATCTGTGTTTTATCAGTGGAAGTCAAAATTAAACATTGCATTGTATAAAGCAATGATTGTAGTTGATTCAACTATAATCATGGTCAAAGCAAGATAACTCCAATTTAAAAAATATATTATATAAACTTGATATTTAGAAGAAAATAAAAATTTTGCAATTTTTCCTTTTATAAAGAGGCATAACTCTAGATCGGTTAAAGTGACACCACCAAAATTCAAACTTGATCTGTGTTTTGTGGTAATAAGCATTGTGTATAAGTTTCATAACATTTGGTTGAGGCAAACTTAAGTTAGAGAACAGAAACTAAAAATTTTGCAATATTTCCTTTTATAAAGGGGCATAACTCTAGATCGGTTAAAGTGACGCCACCAAAATTCAAACTTGATCTGTGTTTTGTGGTAATAAGCATTGTGTATAAGTTTCATAACATTTGGTTGAGGCAAACTGAAGTTAGAGAACGGAAACCAATTTCGGGACGTACGGACGGACGTACGTACGTACGTACAGACGGACAAGGGTAAAACTTAATGCCCCCTCCTATACGGCGGGGGCATAAAAAAAAAAAAATCCCCCCCCCCCAAATTTTATGAATCCCCTTATGATTCATCACCCCCAAACTCAATCCCAGCCTTCACTTTGTGGTATGGTACCTTGCAGTACAATTTCAGAGAGATCCATACACTTGAACACAAGTTATTGTCTGGAAACTAGAAAAATGATTGTTTTTTGCCCCTTTTTGGGCCCCTAATTCCTAATATTTTGAGGCAATTACCCTCAAAATCAATCCCAGCATTCCCTGTGTGATATGGAACCTTGTGGTACAATTTCAGAGAGATCCATACACTTGAACACAAGTTATTGTCTGGAAACTAGAAAAATGCTTATTTTTGGCCCCTTTTTGGCACCTTATTCCTAAACGTTTTGGGCAATTACCCCCCAAACTCAATTCCAGCTTTCCCTTTGTGATATGGAACCTTGTAGTACAATTTCAGAAAGATCCATACACTTACACACAAGTTATTGTCATGAAACTAGAAAAATGCTTGTTTTTTGCCCCTTTTTGGGCCCCTAATTCCTAATATTTTGAGGCAATTACCCCCAAAATTAATCCCAGCATTCCCTGTGTGATATGGAACCTTGTGGTACAATGTCAGAGAGATCCATACACTAACACACAAGTTATTTCTGGAAGTTACAAAAATGCTTATTTTTGGCCCCTTTTTGGCCCCTAATTCCTTAACTGTTGGTACCATAACCCCCAAAATCAATCCCACCTTTTTGTGGTATTGAACCTTATGGTAAAATTTCATAGAGATCCATTCACTTAAACTAAAGTTAGAGTGCGAAAACCAATGTGTCTTCGGACGATGCCGGACGACGCCAGACGACGACGACGACGACAACGTCATACCAATATACGACCGCAAAAATTTTTTGCGGTCGTATAAAAACCAAATTTTCATCAATTGAGGAAAAAATTTTGTTTGTGGATAAATATAAAATTTTCTGGATTTTACAAACTCTGCATATAAATCTATAGGAAGTTTGTATTTGGTTGAACAGCTGAGGAAAACCTCTGGGTGCAGGATTTTCTCGCTGCATTGAAGACCCTTTGGTGGCCTTCGGCTGTTGTCTGCTCTTTGGTCAGGTTGTTGTCTCTTTGCCATATTCCCCATTTCCATTCTCAATTTTACTTAAACTAATGGCCTTTCTGCACACAGGAATATCAGTACATGATATTAATAATTGTTTGTTTGTTTGTATTTAACACCACTTCCAATGACCTTGGCTACATCATGACAACCAGTTTTTATTGGTGGAGGTAGCAAGTTTACTTTTAGAGAACCATCAACATTCTGCAAGAAAACTGGTAATCCACAGTAAATTATATTTCATAAATGTACTAACTTTAGATACATCATTTTGGCTCTCCTCACTAAAATGAGCAGTTCCTATAAGATAGACTTTACTGCCCCAACCTGTATCTAATACAGAAACAGTAGAAGGAAGATCTGGGTCAGCTTTCTGGCAAACTGTAAATTGTGGTTCTAAATTATCTTCAATGTCTGTTTCCTCTCCATCATTACTGCCATCTTCCCCATCATCATCTTCAAAATCATCACTGTAGTCATAGTTACCTGTTAGAAGAACAGTAACCTTTTATTCACATATAATACATAGAAAAATACTGCCATTGTAGAAATCATGAATATAAGGGAATTAGGAAAATAGCACGTTCTTTTCTAATTTCAATTGATTATTATTTTTTCAATGAATATAACCAGGTTTGTTTCTATTTAATACATACATTTTTGAAAGTCACAAAAATACATTTGCAAGTATGAATAGCAGATTGAAATTATATACCATGAGCTGGTATGACAAATGGCTCCCATTTAATGACTAAGAAACTTAACTGTTTTAAATATATTCAAAAATGTACAGTATGAGGGGGCTGGGCATGATCCTAGTCCCAAATCCTGGACAAATTCTATGGTGCACTTAAAAGGTTTTGTCATGACAATTCAGACTGCAAATGGTTAAGGGTTGGGGATCTAAAAAGTTTGTGATATATTTAATAATTTATGAACTTCCTCTTCCAAACCAAATCCCTTAGGTGCATTGAAAAGGTCTTGTTGTGGCAAACAAGAAAGTACATGGTTTTGGAGTTAACATGAAATTGGTCATAAAATCAAATAATTTGACCTTGAGGTCAAAGGTCAAGGTCAGCTTCTATGGTATGTAACAAATCTTCTTGAGGTTTTGCACTAATGTACCAAATATCATAAGTCAAAAGATAAAAATATTATGTTCTGGACATGAAAATGTCCTCAAAAAATCAACCATTTTAACCATGAGGTCAAAGGTTAAGGTCACATAGTGAAGATGATAGTGAAACACCTTCTTATGGTAATACATATTCATACCAAATACCATATGCATAAGTTTTTAAAGTTTTTGAATAAATATTCAAAATCTGCCTGACTGACCTACAAGACATATTCCAGCCTGGTAAAAATGTCATTATTAATCAGTCAATGCAAAAATTATATGGAAAATATTACATGAGAGGCAAAGATACCAATGGGACATTCAAACTCATAAGTCAAAAATAAACTGACTATGCCATGGCTAAAAAAGAAAAAGACAAACAGACAAACAACAGTACACAAAACACATAGAAAACTAAAGACTGAGCAACACGAACCCCACCAAAAACTGGGAGTGATCTCAGGTGCTCTGGAAGGGTAAGCAGATCCTGCTACATAGTTCTTATGAAATTTCTTTTAAATGCATTCAGAAGTATTCCTGTCAAACATTCCATGTTGGACAGAAATACAGCTTTGCAGTTTGTACTTCATTAGCCCACCTTCATCATCAGACACATCAGGTCCTTCAATAATGACTGTACTTTCTGTTATCACTGTGCTGTCTGTTAAACTGTCAATGCCTGACGGCTGTGAATCATTCACACTGTGATCTCCTGAACCATTTACTATGCCTTCATTTTCAGTCATATCTCCACCTTCAAAAACAATTATACAAAATGTATTTCAGTTTGAACATTTGTAAAAGCAATGACATGCTTCCCAACATTTTATATTTTTTATCTCATTCTCATGCACTGGACCATGGATTGCCTTGGGAAATGTGTTTCTCTAATTCTTTGACAATTTATACCTTTCTGCACTCATTGTATAAAAAAATTTAATCAACGTGTGGTTGCCAGTGATCTCAGAAGATGATTGGATGAATTTAAGGGTCATAACCTTTATCAGCTCAAAATATGCTAACAGGTGTTAATGAAATTGACAACTTTGTGAAATGTGGAAGGCACTTGAAGGGGGTTTTGGTTTAACAAAAAAATGAAAATGTATTTTTTAATCATTAGAGAAACAGATTCTTACATAGTTACTCGTGAATTATCGGATTCATCCAATCTCGATAGTTAAATTATAAATTTTAAAGTCCTCGCCAAGGCTCAGACTTTAAAATTGATAATTTAACTATCTCGATTGGATAAATCCGATAATCCACTGGTATGAATGTAAGAATCTATATTTCTCTAATTCTTCACCAATTTATAGTTTGAGTTTCCCTACCAGTTTATTAATATTCATAATCAAGGTCATGAAGGTGTGGTTTGTTTCATCAAAATTCAATTATTACGACAAATTTTCTAGCTTTCCTGTGAATTTGCTATCAAGAAATCACAAAAAAGCGATCATGCACATACAGTATTTGTCAACTTTTTAAATCTATCATTACAATGTATCCCACCCCAATTGCAGAAGAAAACTTGAAGATATATTTGTATTAAACCCAATTTTATACAAACATGTTCATTTTGTTTTTGCAGATGTACAAAAAATTCCAGTTATTTGTCATATTTGTTATTATACTATCATTAATCATGTTAATATTTTGGGGGTTAGTTTTGTTTTTAATTTGGACCAAGTTTGTTGATCCTTTTGATGTTCAAAAACACAATTACTTGATATTTTTAAATAGCTACATTGTACAGTCTAAAATTTTGAAATGAGCATTGAACATGTTGAAGTTAACAAAAAATAAAACAACTGATAAAAATGTTGTCATTTCTGTGACCGAGTAAGCCTTATCCAATATCTCTTTCATAAGACTGCAAGTTATTAATATTAAAAGTGGTGCTTCCATAATATGTGTAATATTGAGATAATTACAATGGCATATGAGCATAATGAGAATTTATTTATTTAGAAATAATGTGCTAGTTTGATCCCAATATTGTTTCCTTTCACAAAATTTCAAACACATTTATGTCATGTATGTAACAAGATTAATTGTTTAAATGAAGTTAATGTAATTTTAAATGAATTCATTCCAGTTAGCAGCCATTTGTTGAAGCTTGTTTTGTCAGTCAGAACATCACTTTCAAGAATAATACTCTTGAAGATAATTTGCCCAATTATCAGTAACAAAAACGTTAGGGTCAGCTCGCAAAAAAAGGGTTGGTGGAGGTATACTAAACACACAACTTTATTTTTGGCCTATTCTGGAAAAAGTACTGGAATTAGCCTACAGCTATCACAAGCTAAAGGGTTCGACAAAAGGCACTGGATATGATTACGTTGGACACTAATTGCCAGAATACTAGGTTGGGGTAGGAACAGATTAATTACGTAACAATAATGTTTGTGTCTACGGTTACGTTGCATTATGGTTATGTTAAGATTTATTAAATTTTTAACTGACTTTAGTTATTAGATGCGAGCTGACAAAAAAAATAATAATGAATCAAAAACAGAGTCTGATTCAGTAGTTCACATATTGGGGGAAAAAATCATTATTTTGATGGCACTATTAACATGATTAATTAATGATTTAGTGTAGAATGGAAATAGGGAATGTGTCAAAGAGACAACAACCCGACCATAGAGCATAAAACAGCCCATGGCCACAAATGGGTCTTCAACACAGTGAGAAAATCCAGCACCCAGAGGCGGGCTTCAGCTGGCCCCTAAACAAAAATGCGTACTAGTTCAGTAAAAATGGACATCACTCTAAACTCTGAAACATATAAATGAACAAAAAATTTTAAAAAAAACATACAAGACTAACAAAGGCCAAAGGCTCCTGACTTGGGACAAGCGCAAAAATATGGCGGGGTTAAACATGTTTTGTGAGATCTCAACCCTCCCCCTATACCTCCAGCCAATGTAGAATAAACAAACACACAGCAATATGCACAGTAAAACTCAGTTTAAAAGAAGTCCAAGTCCGATGTCAGAATAGTTAACAGAAGAAAACTAAGCAAAATGACAATGATACATAAATTAACAAAGGACTACTAGCAGTTACTGACATGCCAGCTCAATACATCAATTAAACTGATTGAAAGATTATGTCTTCATCATATGAAAATCAAGCACAATCCCTCCTGTTAGGGGTTTAGTATCATACCATCATAAAATATATGAGAAGAACACAACCCGTATCATGCCAACAACTGGTTTTAGAATAAATGTGTTTATTTCTGACGCAAAGACCCTCTGAGTGAATCAATATTAATAATATATAAAAATATGCCATCTTTAATGACCTGACAACAGTATTTTAACTATATCCATTCTGAATAAGTCTGTTTAAAGGTTTGGTTAGCTTTTGAGGTGAGTGCTGACATTTTTGTGCTTTGTATAGAATATTACCATAAAAGATTGGATGTGAAATACCTGAACGTATAAGATGTCTGCATGTTGATTTATATTTACGAATGATGTCCTTGTACCGATGATAAAATTTAGTAAATGTTTTGAATAGTTTGTGATATCTAAAACCCTGGTGTAATAATTTTTCAGTAAAACAGAGATTTCTTTCGTTAAAATCTAATACGTTGTTACATACACGAGCGAATCAAACAAGTTGAGATATATAAACACCATAAGATGGTGACAAGGGAACGTCACCATCTAAAAATGGATAATTAACAATAGGAAATGAAAAATCATCTCTTTTATCATAAATTTTGGTATTAAGCTTCCCATTAAAGATATAGATATCAAGATCCAGGAAAGGGCAGTGTTCATTGTTAGTATTAGCTTTATTTAAAGTCAGTTCAGCAGGATAAATCTCTTTAGTGTACATACAATGTACTGAAGTCATCATAATTGAGAGCCAATATATCATCCAAATATCTAAAAGTGTTATTAAATTTTTGTATCAGATGTTGTTTCCATGGGTCTTTGCTGATTTTAGTCATAAATTGTACCTCATAACAATGCAGAAACAGGTCCGCAATAAGTGGTGCACAGTTAGTCCCCATTGGAATTCCGATAACTTGACGATATACGGAATCTCCATAGCGAAAACAAAATGTTAACCTCGTAAAAATTAAAGGGCAGTTATCGTATCAAAACAGGTCCAATTGACATAGTTCTTTTGTTTGTTGTTACTAAAAAATTCGTAAGGGTTCGGCAGAACCCAGTGTCTCGCCTACTTTTGCTGTTAATCGCAGGCTCAACAAAAATGAGATGAGGAAAAAATTTAATAAAAATATTCCTCTCGATACAATTTTTTTTATTGTAAGAAATTTCTGTCCAAGTTTGGTAAAAATCCAGGATAGTTTATGAATCTAATGTTTTAAAAAATTTAACTGCAGACTGTATGTAATGTTAACTGGAAGAAAAACGAAGTCCATTTATAAGTAAAATACGGAAAAACAGGAATTTTTTTTTTACAAAATTTACTTCTGGATACTATCTTATGATCATAAACAAGCTTCTAAGTTTGGTAGAAATCCAGGATAGTTTAAGAAAGTTATTAAAATTTCAAAAACTTTAACCACAGAGTGAATATTTGTGGACGACACCGCCGATGACGACGGAATGTAGGATCGCTATGTCTCGCTTTTTCAACAAAAGTTGAAGGCTCGACAAAAATGACCTAAAAGAGTTTGAACATATATATATTCGCATTCTGACATTTTAAATGCCCATTTAATTCAAGGTTGGCAAAAAAGCGGTCAATACTAGTATTGACCATGCCGGCGGTAAATACTGGTAAATACCGGGAAATACTGGCAAATACTGGTCAATTGAAATTTTGAGTGGACATTACTACAAAAACCACTCTCTATTGGTCAATTACTTTTAGAAAATGAAATAACGAAAGTGTTAAAAGTCATTTTAAATGTTCTCATTTCTATTTTTATTGTAAATTCTTAATAAAAAGTGATTTACAATGATTTATTAGTACATAAGATAAAAATGTTTTGTCCCTGGCAAGGAAACTCATCAGGTGGCTTTTGCACTGACTTTAGCATTGCAATCATTACATTTTGCTCTGGTTTTGTTGTTTTCTTATATTGTATAGAAGTTCCAAATAGGGTCTTCAGGTTTCAGTTTGGTGCTTAAGGTCAAGATGGTTGTACTATGTGTATGTAAATCATGTAAATATTGATTATGTAAAGGTAAAATTTATACAACATTATATATTTTTTGGTTTAAAACATAAATGACAGTTCAGCCATAAGAGTAAAGGTCCTTCATACCTTCCATTTCCTGCATAAAGATGATTTTTGTCTCACATTTAATAATCAGGAAATATTTTATTGTTTAAGTGAGTCTTCAAATATCACTTTTATTACTTTCAACCATGTTTTGTCATCATTTATTGGGGCTGTTGTTTTTATAGTAATTAAATTTTCACACCAATGCCAGGTGATGGTTTATTCCCGATTGTCCCACTTTTTAAAATTTTAGAGTTCTGATTGTCCCACATGAAAAGTTCTGATTGTCCCACATTATTTTATTATGTAAAATGTTCTTAAATAAACAAGGTAGTTGTTGTTTGTTTTACTAAATAAACAAGAATTAGAATATGATTTTTTAAATCATCACATTAAAGCACTTTTGATGAAATAATATAAAATTTCTGAGTTATAAAATATAATGTTACTCTTATTTGTAAGACAAATATCAGTATTGTATTTTTAATTACATTTTTTTATCAAAGTTTTTAAATAAATTTAAAAATGATACATGCAAT